AAAAAAAAAAAAAAAAAAAAAAAAAAGAGGACTGATGTGTTTTTACACTATAAATGTTCTATTTCACTATTTTCTGTGGTTAATCTCTTACTGCGTCTAATTTATAAATTAATATTTATCATAGACATGTCTGTGCAAAGAAAAGTAGTATATTTACAGATCAGTATTATCTCTGATTTCAGGCATCTATTTGGGTCTTGGAACAATAATCCCCATGGATACAGGAACTACTGTATGTATGCAAGGGAGCTGAAGGAAAAACCAGTTATATTCTGCATGAACGTCATCCTTTCGTTCCCCCCACCTCACCCCAAACAGGACTTGGGTCTCCCAGTGCCTGGGTAAGCTCCAGTCATTGCTACTGGATTATAGGATGACAGGACATTTCTTCTACCCATCCACAAAAGCATTGTTCTCATCCAACCAGATTTTAATACACCTTTTTGAAAACACCCACTCTTTTTTTTAGCACACTTGTTCTTATACATCCACCCACATCCATTTTTGAAATCTGGAGCAGAGGTGTCCAAAGGTTGCTTTGTGTACTGTCATTACTGCACAAGTTGTCAGTGGTCCTCAGTGAGGTCAGTACAGGTAAGTTAGAAGTTGACAGTATTTAGAAACTGTACAGGAATTTGAAAAGTAATCTCACCATATGGCAGACATTAATAAAATTAAGACTTGTATTTTGCTGTTTCATTTTCATAGCCATTTGTTTAATTTTGAAAAAGAATTATATCAGGACAGATGAGAAATTACAACAAAGAAACAAACATCTGATCCTTCTTCATTATAAGTGTTCTGCTGGATGTGGTGGCACATGCCTGTAATCCCAGCAAGTGGGACGCTGAGGCAGGACTACTGCCTGGGTTATAAGGTGAGTTCAAGGCCAGCCTGAACAGCATAGTGAGACCCTGTCTCAAAAAACCAAAAAAAAAGTTTTCGTCTTTTAAATTTTATTTATATATTTATTTATTTATTTTATCATGGTGCTCAGGATTAAACTCAGGACTTCATGCATGCTGGGCAAGTGTTCTACAAACCCAGCCCGACACTGTGATCGCACTAGTTTTTCCATTAATGTTCTTTTCCCCGGACACCACTGCTTTGTGACAATTTTTGTCTTTCCATAACCTCAACACTCATTGTAGAATTGTCTACATTTGCTGTGCCCATTTTCTCATGCATAGACTGAAATTATGGACTTAAAGGGTGGAATCTGAGAAATATGTGTCCTTCTTGTTGATATGTGAGTTATTGCTGGTGATGTTAACCTTGATCACTTTAAGGGTAGGGTGTTTGCCTACCCTACTTTAAGGGTAGGGTTTTTGCTGATGACTGAACCCAACTCTTGTGCATGCTGGGATGCCTTAGAGTACCACTTCTTTCAACAACACAGCGTAATAAGGAAAATGACGAAATAGAAGACTATAATCCTAGCACTCTAGGCTGAGGCAGGAGGACTGCAGTAAGTTCAAGACCAGCCTGGGCTACAGGGAGTTCAAGGCCAGCCTGAACTACGTAGCAACACACAGTCTCAACACACAAAGGAACAATCACCAAAAAGCAAGAATCATTTAAAAGAAAAATAAAACTGCCATCATTCACAGTGTGCCTAATTATATGTGTAGAAAGTCTTAAAAGCGGGGCTGGGGATTTAGCTCAGTGGCACAGTGCCTGCCTGGTGAGCACGAGGTCATGAGTTCGGTTCCTGCTACAGAAAAAAAGTCTAAAAGCATCTACAAAGTTTTAGTCTCAAGGGTAAATATTTAGTTTCCACAGGTCAGCCATTAAAATCCAAAGAACGTTATAGGTAAAAACAACAGATGGATAAACCTATGGTATAATTATAAAAGGACCCCTCTAAAGCAGTGAACATAAATGAATTTCTGCCACACACAACAGTTACGGTTTTCCCCTAGATCTCCTTCATCTAGTTGAGGAGGTGTTTTCTATTCCAAATTTGTTAAAATTTGTATCATGAAAGGATGCTGCATTTCCCAAATGCTTTTTCTGCATGAGGGCCATGTGATTTTGCCTCCACTGGGCTCATTTTCATAGTTTTCACCTATTTGCACTCCTATCATACATTTCACTTGGTTATGGTGTATAATCCTTTTTCTTTGCTGCTGCATTTGGCTTGGTAACATTTTGTTGATTTTTACAATTATATTCTTAAGGGATATTGTTCTATAATTTTCTCGTGATAATCTGTATCTGGTGTTGATTTCATACGACCTTATTGGATGAGTTGTGAAGTATTCCCTTCTGTATTTTTTGGAAGAGTATGTAAAGTCTCCTTCAATTCTGGCAGCAGCATAATAGTCCAACAAATGGATATATTTGATTAGCTCCTTATCTATGTTTTCATACCCACCAATATTGTGATGACATGATCTATGTGAACAGACACAGCTCTTAAATTTTATGTGAAAGTGTGTCAAGGCCAGCCTGAACTACAGTATCACTTAAAACTAAGAGATACTGGCTGGGCGTGGTGGCGCACACCTGTAATCCCAGCACTTGGGAGGCTGAAGCTGGAGGATCATTGAGAGTTCAAGGCCAGTCTGGGCTACAAAATGAGTTCAAGGCTAGCCTGAACTGCAGAGTTAGACCCTGTCTCAAATGGACAAAAGCACATTTTTCTTTTTTAAAAGATATTGGTAATCCGGTGTGGAGGACCACCTGGGCGAATCTACTTGAAAGAGGAGCAGTTGTCTCCATTTTGGCTGAACCTGACCCTATTTCCACGTGTTGATGGTGCACAGCTGGCTAGGACTTCTCCTTATCCCTTCAACTGGCTTTCAGCAACGCAAATCGGTCCAGCACCTCGGGTTTGAAGCAAGACGACAGGGCAGTGCTATCTCCAAACCCCAGCTGCCAGGAAATGTGTGAGCAAGGGTGGGATAGAATGTTCCATGTTGTTGGCTGGGATCAAGCCTTGAGATAAGAGGCTATGACTTATCTTCCCAGGCCTTAAAAGATTACACATCAGAACTGAGGCACAGACCCCGAAACATTAGGTACTATCTAAATTGTGTTATGCAGATTACTTCTGCATGTCCTTCTCTCCGCATATTTTAGAGGTGATTTCAGGCCTCCTACCTAGCCTGGCTCATGGCGCTCACATAATTCCTGCCACTCTCACAGTCACTCATCCTCAAGCCACTCCCTTCTTCATAAAGCCAGGGTTTGGCTCTGGGTCATGGCCTTTGTTCTGGTTAGCCATCACTGTAGCTGGACTTAGGACCTCTTGGCTCCCCACAACTACAAATATGCCTTAGAGTTTTTATTCCCAACATGGGTTGCACTAGAAGTGGTATACTGGAATTAACTTACTGGAATCCCAGTAACTTTTCCATGGGATTATAAATATAAACTTCCTGGGCCTCAGTGAGGACCAGAAACACTCTATGATGTGGCTTCTAAAGGGTTATAGAATATTGTTTTCATTTAAACACCTTTCATTAAGGAATGGGTGGGTAGCTTAACAGCAGTTTATGCTTATTATGTATGAGGCCCTGTGTTCAATCTTTTATACCAAAAGAATTAAATAAACAACCTTCACTGTTACATAAGGAAGTGTGTTACACGTATTTAAAAATAATCAAGAACTCTTTCGCTCTGACCTACACTTTAGTACTTCTTGGATGGAGAGTATGCCAAGACTTCTCTATTTCCTCTCCAAGACATATAGAGGATTAATGACAGCTGTCCTAGGGGTTTCCAAATTTTTGGACATCTATGGGGCTGGGGATTTAGCTCAGCACACAGTGCCTGCCTGGCAAGCGCGAGGTCGTGAGTTCGATTCCCGGTACCAGAAGAAAAACAACAACAACAACAACAACAAAAACCAAATTTTTGGACATCTAATGAGGAACAAGATGTTACATGGCAAGAGACGTGGTCTGCAACTGATGAACACCAAAAAGGCAATCAAGATTTGGATGGGGGGAAGGGGAACAATTCAGCCTTTAGGACTTCTACTCCTACTACAGTGATGTTAAAAAAACTCTGGTTTGCAGAAAATTGAGTTCAGCAGAGAAAAGCATTAACCCCCATGAGTATCCCTCAGGCTCTTACACTGTGAAAGAACAGGGTCCTGAGAAATCCGTAGCTAGTTGTAGGACAGAGCAAAGGGTACTTTCTGTCCTGGATGTGAAGATACACTCATGTAAGAAGAAGTCAGTGTTTGGAAAAGCAAAGCCCACTGGTAGATCTATGCCATTTCAATTTTATTATTTAAAGTGCCAAAAAGGCTGGGCGCCGTGGTGTGCACCTGTAGTCCCAGCACTCTGGGAGGTGGAGACAGGACCGTAATTTCAAGCCTTGTCTGGGCAACTTAGTGAGATCCTGTCTCAAGTCAAAAAATAAAGGGCTGGGGATTTAGCTCAGTGTGAAGACCCTGGGCTCAATGCTCAATACTGGAAAAAAATTTTTCAAAAGTCCACTCTGGGCATAGTGCACATCTGTGCACTTGGGAGGCAGAAGGAGGAGGTGCCCCAAGTTTGAGGCCAGCCTGACCTACGTGTAATGAGTTTAAGACAATCCTGGAATACACAGTGAGACTTTGCCTCAAACAATCAAAAAACGTTTAAAGTACAATGCTTATTTTCTTGCTTGAAGACTGTATCTTCCCTGGTTTAATATCAACACTCACCACAGCTGCAGAAAATTAAATTGAACCTTTAGAAGGTATCGCATACGGACCTGGTTGGGGTTATAGACAACAAACTCATTGTAGTTGAGGGTATAACCCTCTGGATTTAAAATTCCTGTGTCACTCGCTGGCCCTAAGGGCACTGTACTCCCATTCCTGCCAAAGAGAAGAAAATGGATCAACACTAGTTTTTGGTTCAGAAGTTGGAACCAAGACAGCAGTATCTTATGCTGGCTTTGAGTACTTACAGGGTAAGGAAGTGGGCAGGACTGGGAGCCATCTTGCCCAGGCCCTTTGTGCTGTGTTTGCCCAGAAGTAATCCTTCTGCCTTAGGATTGGCCTCGAGTAGCTCATTACACTGACCCAGAGCTACCTGCAAAGCAAAGGATCTTTGAATTCTTCTATCCTATTGAGAATAATGTTCTACAGAGGAATCCCACCTGAATTTTCTTCCGTGCCTCTAGCAAAGGAAGCAGATACAATGGAAATTCTCCTTAGCATCCCTCAGGTTATCTTAGGTGAACCTCTTATTTCTAAGGTCAAACCCTTTTCACTGGAAAAAACATAGGAATTAATAAACTGGAGATAACAGATGTGTTTCTTCTTCACCTCTGATAAAAGCAGCAGTCCCGTATTCTTTAGTCTGGAGGCAAAGCAGTAATTGGCACTCTTAGAAGACATATCAGCAAAGTAGATGCCTTTTCCAAACTGAAATAAATAAACAAAAATGAAGGTCAGCTGCTTAATCCATTATATTAGAAGGAAGGCTCATACCGCTGATGCTTTTTTCCCGATCTCTCAAACATAGTATAGACCTGTCTCCAATACTTCACAATTCTGTTCCAGAGAGGGTAAAAATATCTGTGAATCTCTTCATTCTAGGGGAAGGGAACAGTATCATTTGGAATTTAAAGAAAGAACACAGTAAGACATGATGAAGTTATTGGTGATCTGGTTTAATTTGGGGGGAAAAGTACCACCTAATTCTTTTTTTTTGGTGGTACTGGGGATTGAACTCAGGGCCTTGTGCATGCTGGGCAAGCACTCTACCACTGAGCTACATCCCTAGCTGAGTACCACCTAATTCTGATTTAGAGGATAAGAAAAGGTCTGATAGCATTCAATAACTGTAATCCTTTTCCCCTATGTTCTACTCAGAGTTCAATTCTACTCACCATGTAACCTGTGATGGGAGCCTCTGGTGGGGCAATTCGAAGCCCATGGCTCAGGATTCCCACCCAGTTACTCAGCCTAGAGCCGTGCCACAGGAGCATCCTAAGAAAAAGCAGTTATTGTACTCTTGCTCTCATGTAAACTCGGGCCATGAATACAAAAAAGCCAAAAACCACCTCTACTACCCGCCAAGTTCCTTAAACTGCACTTCAGGCAAGGAAGTGTCTACCCGATCTCAAAGCTAGAGGCAGACCTGTTAGGCAGATCTTCTCTGAAGGCTTCTTTCTCACTCTCCTTTTCTACTTCAAAAACTTCCAGCAGGGTCATGGTGTAGTCACTGTGTGTCGGAGCATGGGTGGACTGTAGGTACTGGGAAATCACCTGTGGAAAACAATGCAAGAAATGACTGATGTGAACTCTAAAGAGACAGGCCTGAAATGACAACTAAAGGCTTCTCGCATAAGTTGGCAGAAATTCCTGCTCCCAAATGGCTCCTAAGGCAGAAAAAAAGGTCTACCTTCCCAAACTGCTGGCAGAGAGAAATTCTGCCCTATTTGACAGCTTGCTTTTAACCAGAAGTAGTCAGAACAGTGGGATGGGGACAGTGGCTCTTATGGTATAAAAGCATGAAATGAAATGATTTTTCTTACTTTGAACTCGTAACTTTCATGATCTAGAGGGCGCAAGTCACAATGTAGGTTTCTATAGTGTTGATCCAATGGGTGTTCTGGGCTTTGGGGTTCTGTCTTCACCAGCTTAATGGCAATTTCAATGTCTCCCAAAGCCTGAGAAAATACGAAATCAATGTTAGGGAACCTGTGATAAGAGATTTGCTATTTCCTAATCCATTTTTCACTCACCTCTAGCAGTTGTACTTTGTCTGACAGTTCTTTCTCAGTCTGGATTAATGGAGGAGTATGGAGTCTAAGAACAGAGACATAACACATAATTATCTGTAATTATGGCTAAAATTTAAGGCTAAAAGGTACATGACTATAAAGAGCACACTAAAAATAGGCCCTTTAGTTGCACACACCTGTAATTCCAGCACTCAGGAGGCTAATGCAGGAGTATCGCTGCAAGTTCCAGGCCAACCTGGGCTACATAGTAAGTGCTATATAGTAGACTACATAGCAAGACCTTGTCTCAAAACATAAATAAATAAAAATATGTCCTTTAGAAACATGTTTTTCATGGAAGGTATGGTGGTACACACCTGTATCGCAGGACTTGGAAGGCTGAGGCAAGAGGACTGTTGCTGGAGCAAGGCCAGCATGCACTACATAATGAGTTCAAGACCAGTTTGAACTAGGTAGCAAGATTTTCTCAAATAAACCAATGGAGAAAAAAAACTAAAAAAAAACCAAAACAAAGTAAACAGATGTTTTCCATTTAAAAGACATAGAGGCCTATAAAAAGACTTAAACCTCAAATATATAAAGGAACATTAAACATATACTAATATAATGTTAGTATGGGTATAGTTACCTTAAATAAAAATAAAAGGGGTGTTATGCATTGACAGTGTTTTACTTAGTGGTTAGCTAGCCAGGCCCATTTTCCTGGTTTGGTAAGTTCCATTTGGTCAGTGAATACGGTGGTAATCAGGCAAGGGGGTTGCATCTCATATTTTTAAACTGATAAATTTATAGATAAGCTACCTATAAATCGTTTGGCACTATTTAAGACGATAATTTCCTTAGGAACAAAAGATTATGAGGATTCTAGCTGTTAGTGATTAATTTAGGGAATACGGGTAGGCAGAAGAACAAAGTGAAGCCACAGCACAGGCCTTACCCAAAGTCGTGTGGGATCCGGGTGTAGAACTCGTTGCATGCTTCCAGGAGAGCCTGTCCACGCTGGCCAGCTCGAATACAATCTTCAATCTTCTTAAGAGACTGGTAACCTGCCTTGATTTGTGCCACTGTCAGCTTCCCTGCAGGCCCAGCCACAGGTCAGACTCCACACTCGGGTTCCGTCCTGTAAGGTGTACTTACAACCCTGCTCCACGGAGGCGCTCACCTTTCACCTTTTACAGTTGTCGACCCATCCAGCCACACACAATATGCCCTTTCACCCCAAATCCTGGTTCTTGCATTCAGTGCCATCAGAAAGCTTTATATCACAGTAGTGATGAAATACCCATTAAAGGAATTAAGAAACACAAAGACAGAATGTAAGGCAGAATCTAAAGTCCTACCAAGTGGGACTTTCTTGGTGTCGTACTTCATTTCAGTCATCATCTCTTCCATGGTATGGACATCACAGATCAACTTGATCAGCTCCTGTACCTCCAGGTCTAGCTGCGACTCTGGTTTCAAGGGGGCCTTAAGGGAGTCCTCTTTTTTTATTTCATTATCACCCTATAGAAAAATAAACAAAACCTGTAAAACCCAAAAGGATATATTTTAACACCCTACAAAGGCAAAAAAAACCAGACTCGAGGATCAGTGTAACAGATCAGAAGAGGCAGACACAACTCCAAACACACTCAGCCACCTTATCTGCAACAAAGTGGCAAAACATGTTCACTGGAAGAAGGATAGCCTCTTTAATAAATGGTGCTGGAAAAACTGGCTTACCACATGCCACTAAAACTAGACCCATGTCTGTGGAACAGTGTGTATTCCATGCACTAAAGTCAAAATGGATCGAAGATCTAAATATTAAAACAGAAACACTAAATCTACTGGGAGAACAGATAAAATTATTCAAAACATAGGTGTAATCAAATACTTTATGAACAAAACCCCTATCACACAGGAACCATCACAAAGAATCAACAACTGGGATCTTATCTTACTGAAAAGCTGATTACAAAATGCTTTTTTTTGCTATCAGGAATTGAACTCCTCGTGCTTGCCAGGCAGGCACTGGAGCCACTGAGTTACATTCCCAGCCCTATTAAAAAGCTTTTGCATAGCAAAAGAAATCAACAGACTGAAGGGATCACCTACAGAGTAGGAAAAAATTTTGCCAACTGTTCCTCAGACAAAGGACAAATATTCAGAATATATAAAGAACTCAAAAAAATCAGACCCCCTCAAATCTTTTTTTTTTCTGAGACAGGGTCTTGCTATGTAGTTCAGGCTGGCTTTGAACTCCCCAGGTAACCCAGGTTGGCCTCAAACTCACAGGGATCCTCCTGTCTCAGCCTCAAGTGCTGAGATTACAGGCATGTGCTACCATGCACGCAGCTCTAAACTCCCAAAATTTGAAGACCCGATCTAAAAATGGGCATCTCAAATAAACAGATACTTCTCAGATGAAGCAGTAGAAACAGCAAATAAATATATGAAAAAATGTTCACCATCAATGATTGAAAGATGCAAATTAAAGACTGCTGTGATCCCACCTTACTCCAGAAACAATGACTATTATCAAGAAGTCAACCAAAAAACAAATGTTGTAGGGGAAAAGGGACCCTTTTCCACTGCTGGTGGGAGTGTAGACTCCTGCAAGCACTGTGGAAATCAGTGGAGAGATTCCTCAAAAAACTAAGAGTGGAAGTTCCATTTGACCCACCTATTCCCCTTCTTGGTATCTTCCAAAAAGAATTAAAAACATCATACCACAGTGATACATATGCACTCATGTTTACAGCAGTATAGTTTGTAATAGCTAAATCTTGGAAACAGCCCAAACCCCCATCAACAGATGAATGGATAAAGGTGTGGTTTTTTTTATACAATGGAGAGCTACTCAGCTAGAAAGAAGAATAAACCCGAGACATTTATACATAAATGGATGCACCTTCAGATCATCATACTCTTAAGTGAAGTAAATCAGACACATATATGTAAATATCACATTATTTCTCTGGTGTGAGATACCAAAAGTGCAAGTAAGGACCAAAATGTGTAATAGATATTGGGAAATAGGAAGAAAATCTTCAAATAGGAAGGGAAACCAGGGAGAGGGAAACGAGACAGGAAGGGGAGAAAAAAATGAGAAAAGAAGGAAAAAATGGAAACAAAGCTTTTGCAAATGAGGAAAGGAAGGGTGAAAGGGAAGGTATGGGAATGGGAAAAAAAAAGAAGAATCAAGGGGCTGGGGATTTAGCTCAGCGGCAAAAGCGCCTGCCTGGCAAGCGCAAGGTCATGAGTTCGGTTCCTGGTACCGGAGAAAAACCAAAAAAAAAAAAGAAGAATCAAGATATATCATGTACAGGTACATTCCTTACGAGGAGTGTGATCATTATGTATGTCTAAATTGTACCAATAAACTTCACTAAAAAAATAGAGTGGTTCAACAATGATCATCCAGCAGTCTTTGCTTGAAGTAAGGTATATTCCATTATTAACCTACAGTACCTTGTATAATTTCCACCTCTGAGTGACAGACCTGCTTCCACAATAAAGCATTAGGAGTAATTCTAAAAGGACTTCCCAGTGATATTATGTAAGGATAGTTATTATATCTCAAATTATCTTATCTGAAGACTAAAATTTTTCCATTTTTCAGATATGTGAGTTTTTAGCATTCTGGTAAACTTCAGTCAAAATTAATTTCTCTACTGTGGTATAGAGGTAGAAGTAAAGACAACTTTACATGTGATTTTCTCAGTTTATTATTCTTTTGGTCTATAACACTAAACTTCTGGAAACAGGGCCTCAGATTTCCCAAGAATCGTAGTAAATAACAAAACAGAGACTAGAAAGGCACATCTAGTTGTATTCTTTCTTCCCCTATGTGATTACAAAGATTAGTCAGAATTACTCCTCAAGTGGGAAATGGCAGTAGCTCAAGATTCTTTGGCTTATTCTGGCCTTAGACTGACCTAAGCCAGGCTGCTGGATGCCACTCTGACTGAAAGGAGCCCTCTGTCTGCCATAGTTAGAGGCAGTTTACCTGAGTGGTGGTGGTGTGGTCCATCTGCAGCATATCGTATTTTCCAGGGACCTTTACAAACTTCTCACGATCTTCCCAATTATTTTTCGTCTTGTCAAGGAACCTACAGAACCCAAGGTGGTGAAACAACCTTACATATAAAGGTCTACTACAAGAAATGGACTTAGAACTGTTTCTTTGAACAGCAAATCTCCAAAAATTTATTTTCCCTCAGAGTTCCTTTGCACATCAAATTTCCATAAACCTGAACTTTAAATTAGGGCACTGAATGGACAGGAAAAACTCTATGGACCAAAGGAATTTAAAAAAAAGTTGGGGAGGGAGTGTCTGAGCTTCCCAAAGGTTCTCAAAAGCCATTAAGATTCAAAACAAGGAACTGGGGAGACAGCTTAGTGGCACAAGCACCTGCCTGGCAAGTGCAACGTTCTGAGTTCAATTCCCAATACTAAAAAGAAAAAAAAAAAAAAAGATTGAAAACAAAAAGTGTGGGGCTGAGGATGTAGCTTAATGGCAAAACACTTGTCTAGCATGAAAATGAGGTCTTGGATTCAATCCCCAGTACAGGAAAAAAAATTTTTTTTTTTTGCTAAGACAAAAAATATCTAATTCTGAATAGAAACATGTCCTTAGAGACCTCAGGAAGTTATTCAACCATATGACAGTGAATTTGTTTTAAACTTGAGGTGCAGAATCTCCACTTTTCTCAAATCCCCTGAATTTGTTTGTTTTGTGTTAAATATACTAGAATTCTTCTGGTTTTAATCAATTTCAGAGTCCTAGGTTGATTTAATAATCACTAACTAAAGATGAAATTTGATTCTAATTACAGACAATCAGAATGAAAAAGGTTAACATTTAGGTCAAATCACACAAAATTTCTTAAGAACAAAGATCCAAGAAGGGTATTTTTTTCTTACTCATTTCTTAGCACTCACTTCTTCTGAAAGATTTCCTTGGCCTTGTTGAGGTCAGCTGAACAAGCCACCAAGCTGTGCTGCCCCATTTTCCCAACTGCAAAGTAAATGCCACACATAAGATGGTTCCCTGTCCTGCACCCCAAGACCAGTTCCCTAATGGTAATGAGTCAACTCTTTAAGGTCCTCTGCTTACTATCTATCAAATGGGCACAAAAAAGGCAGGGAAAAAGTAAAAGGCCTCAGGGAAGCGATCACGTGGGCAGAAGTTATCTGCTGCTGGCATGGCCGACGTGCAGCACGAGCAGTGCACCTGCAGGAGTTTCGAGCCCCAATGGACTGCTCTTCACTTTGCCAGTGGGCGCCTCCCGATGACGGTGCCCGCCATGCTCCAAAGTGAAGAAGCCTAACTTGATTCCCAAGGCCTTCCCAGACTTCAGAGCTTCCACCCACCCAGTTTAAACTCAGCCAGTCACTACACTGCTTCTGATCCTTTGAATGACAGTCCATAAAATGTATAATAAAAGTCATTACCTCGACCCCACCTCATCCAAACACTGAAGTTTCTCTGGGCATCGTCTTCCAACAGCTGAATGAGATAGTACTTGTTGTTGTTGAATTGGAGATTGGTCTATAATGAGTGAGAGAATACTAAACGTAAAAGGAGATAAAGGAGACAGTTTAAGGAGATGCTACTGCAAATGGAAGTTACACAAACCAATGACTCATCCTGAGCCACAGGGACCAGAAATTTTTATAGAGGAAAGGAAAGGAAAGCATAGGGAAAAACCAAAAGACAACATATTAAAGTAGGAGCCTAGCTTGGTGTGGTGGCATACGCCTGTAATCCCAGCACTCAGGAGGCTGAGGCAGGAGGATCGCTGTGAGTTTGAGGCCAGCCTGGGCTACACATTGAGTTCAAGGCCAGCCTGACCTGCATGCTGTAACCCTGTCTTAAAAAGACAACCCCCCCCACAAAAAAAAAAAAAAAAAGAAGTAGGAGCCTAAGAGCTCCCTAAAGCCTTCCTCCTAACCTCAATAGTCCTGTTTAGTTCCCTCCACAGATATTTTATAGGTTATCTGTGTTTTCAAACTCCTAATTCATTTCCAGTAATTATTTCTCAAATGATATTCGAACAGTTGTGATGCTCCATTCTCATCTATACCTATTAGGACTTGTTTGCTTAGATGATTTCTTATTCTGACTGTTCCACTTAAACCCTTTTTGTGGGTTAGCTTCAGAAATACGACAATGTTCTGAGAACAGGACAATGCTGAGAGGGGACAAAGGATATGCAGAAACCTCTGCCTCTGTCCCATCCCTGACCTGGTCTGACTTGGGGCTATTCATTCAAAGTGCAATCAGTGCCTGAAAAGACTTATCTAAGTACCTCACTCACAGTAGAGAGACAGTGGTCCATAGAAGTTAATGCTGTGAGGCTGAGACCCTGTTATCATGGTATTTCCCTTTCGTATCTCACTGACATTATAGTCATTAGATGTTTGAAAAAAAGGGGCTTTAAGATATTTTCTGTCGGGGCTGGGGATTTAGCTCAGTGGCAAAGCGCCTGCCTGGCAAGCACAAGGTCGTGAGTTCGGTTCCGGTTCCCGGTACCGGAGAAAAACCAAGACCAAAAAAAAAAAAGATATTTTCTGTCTGCTCATAATATTTTAAGTGGAAGTAGTAACAAAGGAATACTAATTAGTTGTTAAAATTACATATGCTGGATCAATAAATTCAAGTGTGAAGTGACATCTAGGAAATATGTTAACCAAGCAAATGTATTACCTACTCAAAAATCACAAAAATAAATGAGATTTTTTTTTTTTTTTGTCTTTTTGAGACAGGGTCTCGCTGTGTAGTTCAGGCTGGCCTTGAACTTGTAACGACCCTCCTGCCTCAGCCTCCCAATTGCTGGGATTACAGGCGTGCACCACCATGCCTGGCTCTGGTCTTGCCAATACTTGTAATTGTTTTTTTTTTTTTTTTTTTTTTCTGGTACCAGGGATCAAACTCACAACCTTGCACTTGCCAGGCAGGCGCTGTGCCGCTGAGCTAAATCCCCAGCCCCCAATACCTGTAATTGTGTTTTTTGATCTTGGTGGGTATGAAATTGGTACAGGAAAATAAAAACTCCCAACCTGAATGATATCTGGGACGAGTTCGTGTTCTCTAAAATCAAAGAATGAATTTTAGGAGCAACGGGGGTTAAGAGCGGAATATATATATATTGAGGGAAAGAAAGCTTTTGTCCAAGAGAGGGACAGAAGGGGGGCCCGAGTGAATTGCCCCAATAAGAAAAATTTTAAAAAGACAAAAATTAATAAATTTAACTACATACAAATTTAAGGCTTCAACATAGGTGAAAAGTGTACTATAAGGAAAATTAAAAAGTCCATGAGAAACCTGGAAAACATATGAACAATTTCTATTACAAACAAAAAGCTATTCTTCCTCTTACATAAAGTCACTTGAAGCTGGTAAAACGAAGACTGGCAAGTTGTCAGAAAATGTGCCGAAGGACATGAATATTGAGTTTACAGGTTTAAGGAAAGACAGTTTGCAAAAAAGACCTGCTTTCCATAGAGGGCTTCACTGTTAGTGTGCTAGGGCTAAACACTCTTCAGAAGAGTAACCAGTAGAGGCTAAAACAGTATAAGGGGCTTGGGAGTTAGTGACCTGGGTACTAGGATACTCTACCATCAATAATGATGGAGAAGAAAGAGCCACAGATAGAATGGCTCCTCAGCTTACCTGATTTAGCATGACATCATAGACATCATTCCCTTCCCAATACACATGAGCCTGGAGAAGAAAAGAAACAAGATTAACAGTGCGCTTTCAGTCCTGAGCTCCAAAGTGAGGCTCAACATCTGCCTATGGCTCAAGGTTCTTTCTCTAGCACCACCATCTACCATCCAGGGAGAGAAAGGAAAATGTGTATTCTATACACAGTCTGTTATTACTATAATGAAAACATGCTACCTTTTTCTAATTACAGAAACAAAGGATTCTAACTCAAAAGAAACTTGCTCAAAAGTAAAAGCAACTTTTTTTTTTACTGTATGCTTCAAATCCTTTCCCCACTCATCAGTAACTTATGGCACTACAAGGTGGTCTCTTATTAGAATAAGAAGACAGTTCTCTCTAATAACATAATTTTCTGGCTGAAAAAGCGAATGAAGTGTCAAAGGATGAGACAGCTGCAAAAAGTAACCTTGTTAACCCCTTGATTATTAATCCCAAATCTTACCTATTCTCACCTCTCTTGGACAAAACTACCAGTGAAGTTTTAGGGAGCAATCCTAAAATGCATACTAGGAACATTTCACACAAGAATCCTAATAACAAAAGAACACTGTTCTCAGGGAAATCAATGGACTGAGAATAGGTTTTGGAGTATCTCACCTTTCCCACTTTAGTTGTACACTCTGGGTCCACAGGAGCTTTGCCCTTTAATAGCAATGACTTCACAGATTCTGAGAAAAGATTAATGCATAATATAATTACTTATATGGCAATCAAAAGTAGCTCTTAGGGCTGGGTGTGGTGGCCCAGGCATGTAATCCCAGCACTTCGGAGGCTGAGGTAGGATTGCTGTGAGTTCGAGGTCAGCCTGGTCTACAAAGTAAGTTAAGGCCAGCTTGAACTGCATGGTGAAATCCTGTCTGAAAAAGACAAAAAAAAAAAAAAAAAAAAGTAGCTCTCAGGGTTAGAAACCTGAACAATTAACTTTGCTATTCCCAAGCAATTTTGGTTTTCTGCATAGGCCTCAATCCATCTCAAATACATGAAAATGATGATTCAACAAAGTAGGTAATTACTGTGGCATACACAAAGCATAGAAAATAAATTATATACTCAAGGAAGAAAGAAATAAGAGCTGAAAGAACAACTTATCACTACCACCTTTCCCAAGACCCTTTTGCTGGCCCATATCCTCCTTGGCTTACTACCTTGTATATCTTCTGTCCTTCCTTTATCAGCCTTTCCTCCAGCTGCGGGCTCCTTCGCTCCCTGCCTCTGGCATTTGCGAGTTTTCCTGGCAGGAGGTGAGTCCTCTGTAGCTGTAGTGCCATTATTCTCTCTCTTAGTTTCATTTAATACTGCAGAAGGTAAGAGCAAGAACAACGAGCAGACAAAGAAGAGTGAGTCCAGAATTAGTACGATCCTTTACTGAGAAAAAACGGGGGGGGGGCGGGGGGCACCACGCATGCTCGGCAAGTCTCTTCAGCCGCCGTCTCCACTTTTTAAATTTTGAGGCATGGTCTTGCTAAATTGCCCAAACTGGCCATTGCGATCCTTGTGATCCTCCTGCCTCACTCTTCTAAGTAGGTGGGATTAGCTGGCAAAAATAAGAACGTGTGTGTGTGTGTGTGTGTGTGTGTGTGTGTTGCTCATTTCTGAACTCAGAACCTTGCATGCTAGGTGAGTGGTACATCATTGAGCTACATTCGCTACTTGGGTGGGGGAGGCTTTTAAAGATATAAATTAATAAGCAGTTGTTTTTTTTTTTTCTTTTTGAGCCAGGGTCTCGCTGTGCAGTTCAGGCCGGCCATGAGCTCACTTTGTAGCCCAGGCTGGTCTCGAACTCACAACGATCCTCCTGCCTCAGCCTCCCAAGTGCTGGGATTACAGGCGTGCGCCACCATGCCCGGCTAAGCGCGGGTTTGTAAGTTTACAATGAAACAATACGAACTGCCACCATTACTTTTGAGAACTGTTCTGTGTAATGCTTCCCAAATTGCTATTCAAGCCAAATAAAATAAAATGGACTCCAGGGCTCTCGTACATTCATAGCCTGAAGCGTAAGTTTTGTAGCCTGCTCATCCCTTCCGTTCACTGCCCTCCCCTGCGGTACCCGCGCGGATCTGCCCAAGGTAGTAGGAAACGACGGTCGGCAGAGGGCTCTAGGGTCTAACCTCGTTTAGAACGAGGGAAACAGAAGTTACATAATCGCCTTTATCTCAATAGTCCCAACTATAAAATCCAAAGAACAATAGCATCTAATTTATAGGGAGGACCTACACATTAAGAGAACCAGACCCTATGCACAGGTTCTCAACAATTCTAGAATTCGAATTTCTGAAATTGGAATGCATCCTAGAAAGGAAGCGATTTAAGTAGTGAATCACATTCAACTGGAAGCACTTATCCTTTCTTATATATAAAATAACCAGCTTTACACTTCACTTTTTAAACGGAATAATATTTAGCATTAAGAACTGTACTGGCACTACGTCAGCTTTTACAGCGCCACAAGCCTTTCTGAAGTAAAGAACAGTAATACAAAAAACAAAATTCCAAAAGCTAAAGGCCAAAACTAGCTTTAGAGACAAGGGCAGGGGAGGAAGAGCCGGAGGGGAGGTGCACTGCTCCGTTCCCCACTTCAGAACCCCAGCCTTCCCGGCTAAGGAGCTGCAAACCTCGCTTCCCGCGGCAGCTCCTTGCCCGCCGTTTGGACGCCATGGAGTTCAAACGCTGACGTCATCAACTCGCTCCCAGGAATTGCAGGCCCAGTCGCAGGCCGCGAACCTGCAGCGCATGCGCTTTAGTGAGACGCGGAAGGACCAGAACTGGGAGGGGCTCCTCGCGATATCTACATATCGCTGTGGCTTGTGGGAAGTCGCCATGACCTAAAAATATAGTGAGATTTGGGCTTCTTATAAGTTTCGCTCCAAACCTTCGGCTTTCATAGGGTGGAGGGAAGCTCATCAGTGGGGCTACAAGCTGAGTGCGTCACGTCACTCTGTAGCGCGTCCCCTGGGAAGGTCTGAGACTAGGGCCAAAGGCGGCCCTAACAGGGCCCTCCCTGAGCGCGGGGAGGTGAGTTCCCAGAGAGCGGGTCTCCGTGCGAGGGCAGACCGGGCAGGAGAAGCCGAGCTCTCCCGCCGCGGGGAGGGCCTGGTGGATGCCCCCTTAGCCGGAGCTTGGAACAGACTCACGGCCGGCGCGCTGAGTTCAATGGCTGAGGTGAGGCACCCGGGGGCCTCATAACCCAATTCAGACTACTCTCCCCCGCCCTCTTTTAGCGTTCGGGCTGACTGCGTAGAC